CACATAAATGCAAAGTCGAACGATAAGGTCACTTGCCACGTGGAGTAAGAAGATTAATTGACCAACACAATTAAGACTAAATGAATACAGCTAGAAACGTACACACGCAATAACATACGCAGACAAACACAGCACGTGGCTACCAGAGTTGTAAAGTTACCAGAATTGTAACGCTACTAGAGCTGTAAAAGCTACAAGAGTTGTACAAAAACAAAGTGTAAAGCTTTGAAGCTGAGTACTGGGAACAGGAGTCCGGAAAAAAAGGTGACAAATGATGTGACAAAGGACGTCACAGAATAATTTCCTGTAACAAGAAAGAAATTGTGAGAATAACTAACAAGAAAGGAAGTAAACAATTCATATAGTTTATGTCAAATATCAATATCAATATCAATATCAATATCAATATCAATATCATATGGGTAAACTGAGATTACTTTTTTCTCGTCCGGCTCCAGTCTATCATGATCTATATAATTGGTACTCCAGTCTACCCCGATTTAAGAGCTTTGTACTCTGGTCCATCCTGAGCTACGTCCCTTGTACTCTAGCCCATTCTGCGCTAAGTCCCTTGTACTTTAGCTCTTTTAAGCTAAGTCCCGTCTACTTTAGCCCCTCTAACCCAAGTCCTTTGAACTTTAAGCCTCTTAGCTAAGTCCCTTGTACTTTTGCCCATTCATGAACCCTGGCCCTTTATGAGAAAATATTTATTGTCTCTGGAAAACCTTGGATCAGGACCTTTAATCAGAGCATCACAGCTGGGGTAACGTTCACGCAAAAGGCGGCCAAGTGAGGGGAAAGAGGGCGTTAATCTTATAGGCATTATATACAGCATATACGCATGTGTCTTTTTGCATATATATACAGTGTATACACGTACATAAATCTGTCCACAGATATACAAGGGCTCACACATATATCCTTTTTTTCTACAAGCATAGAGGTGCGCATAAACGCAAGAGTCTGTTTATATTAACACAGTGATACACGCACATACATCTGTCACGTGCACACACACACACACACACACACACACACACACACACACACACACACACACACACACACACACACACACACACACTCTCTCTCTGGGGCGAACATGCAAGTGCTTCTGACTAGGGGACACAAAGGGACTGGCGCACTTGTACACACAAAATAAAACCAGCAACTGCAATCTCACAAATAATGTTGTAACAGGCATTGCACTCCTGCATTGCTTTAGATTTCTAATTATCTGAACTCATTAAATGTTATTTAATTCCCGACTCCTCCCCCTCCCCCCGCGCCTTTTACTCCCTCCTGCGTGCAAACACTCTCTTTACCTGTCTTTTAATTCCTCTCTTCTGTGTTCAACGGTTCCTTCATTTGGGTCTTTTAATCCCCCCTCCTTCTGCATGCAACATGTTCACTCCAGACCTCAGCTACGTTCTGTATTCAACAGCACTTTTTACCTGAGTATTCTACTTATTTTATTCCGTTCTTCATATATCACATTTTACTCTCGCATCTGTTACTCCGTCATGGTGGCACTACTCCCTTCATCATGCATAAAGCACTCAACGGCCTAATGAAAATTCAATTTCGAAGAATGTCAATATCCGTATCACCTTCCTAGCCATTGACGTCACACTTCAGGCACGAGGGCTTCGACACCTGTGCCGACCGAGAGCCCACAGACGGCTATAATCGCAGTTTTGTATATGTATAATTTTCAATTTGTCCCAACAATTGCGTCTATAAGTTGGAATTATTACTCCACGAGATTGGTAGAATTAAATAAATTGTCATCACCAATATATTTTCTAACATTACTGTGGACTCTCCTAAGTAACAGAACTAAGGCACTGAACACCTGCTCCCTCACCCCCGCACCCCCAACACCAGACCGGGCAATCAAAATCTTTACATGTAAGAAAGGATGGATTAACCTAGATGACTTGGATAAGTTCCAGACAAGATTTAAAAGCTCAGTTTTTAGATCTTGCTCAGTTTAGTTAAGTTCGTCGGAGGTCCTTTCTTTTTGTGAAAATTCATGGTCTGGTTAGTACACAATATTCTCGTATTTTTCAGGCCCGAGTTTGAAACTCCGATAATGAAAATGAATGACATATAGAGCAAAAACAAGGTAACAGGTAAGTCCCTAACTACTAAGCCACAGTGCCCATAAAATATGAAGATAGATGACGGCTATCTGCTACCCTAGCTCTCACTTACCCTTCCTGGGCACGAAAAGTAGCCAGCTACTTTTCCATCCCCGCGGCACAAATCTTATAAATTCAAACCCGGAATTGTACGGGCATTAAATGTGAGAGATGGGGTAGGATAGGCGTTGGTGTGGTGTGGGGTTGGATAGGTAGAGTTCTGGAGTAAGATAGGCGATGACGTGGGGTAGAACTATTGGTGTGGGGTTGGGAAGAATAGAAATTTGAAAGGGGGGAGGTAGGATAGGAAATTTCATGGAGTGCAATAGCAGAGGAGCACTGGCCGGGGGGGGGGGGGATTAATTAGGACAGATTAATGTGCGGGGGTGAAATAGGATAGGCGATGGTGTTTGACTTGAGTATAATAGGCGAATGGTGTAGAGTGGTGTGGGGAGGATGTATGACTTGTGTGACAAGAGGAAAGGCCTGACAATGCTTACCAACACGACATGACTTCGTTAACATTTCCTCACACGGGGCAGAGAGAGGAGAAAGTGGAGAGAAATGTGTAAGAGGAAAATGTGAGCGAACAACGGAAGAGGCGCATGTGGGAAGGGGGGGTTAACAATAAATGTGAGAGAGAGAGAGAGAGAGAGAGAGAGAGAGAGAGAGAGAGAGAGAGAGAGAGAGAGAGAGAGAGAGAGAGAGAGAGAGAGAGAGAGAGAGAGAGAGAGAGAGAGTTGTGTATAGGGGTAATAATAAGCATGTGGGTGACAGGACAGGAAAATGAAAGCAAGTAAGGGGTCGGAGGAGAAAATATTATGATGGGAAGGAAGGACTGAGCCCACATGGGATGGGTCAGGAACAGTGGAATAGGAATGAATCAATAAGAATGTATAAATAAGACAAACGAAGAAAGGAGGATTTGAAAGAGTGAGGAAATTGATTTATCCATCTATCAAAAACAAAGGAATGAAATAGTTGAATATAGAATGCATTAAAACCATAATTATTAATATAAATTTACTACGGATAATGTGTATACTTGATAAAGTTATTGATACCTTAAATATTGTAAACTAAATTTAAAGTTCAGATGTAAAATAAACAAATAATATAACATAAAATAACAAACTGGAAAATATAATAGCCATAAAATCAAAAGAAAGAGCAACCGCATTTATTAGCGTACAATCAGTAGCAACAGTTTTAATGATAGTAGCAATTATTTCAATAATAATAGTTTTAGTAATCGTAGTAGTAGTAGTAGTAGTAGTAGTAATGTTAGGACCAGTTTTTGTAACTGGAACTGTTAAATCATTGTAATAATGAAATAAAGTTAGTTAAACGTGGGTTGCAAGAGCCGTAGATTAATTAACAAGCCCTATCAATACATTCAATACAAAACAGTGTGTGAATAGAAACGCAAAAACAAATGTGCAATAAAGATAATTTAATTGCTCGCTTTTCTTTTTGTATCACTTTAATTTATTTGCATTTGTTATGTATTGTTTTTGCAGGTTTAAGCATTTTTATATTTACAACTGTGTTTTAACAATTGTTTAACAGTCCTCAAATATTTATTTTCAATGAAATAATTACGTTTCGAAAATGTTTTTCGTTCTGATTTGTCAATTTACATCTTATTTGACCACCTAACCTAAGAAGAGCGGTGTGTGTTCTTCACTATGTTAACTCATTTTCATTAATTTATTTAATGTTTATACAACAATTACCGACAGTTTTTCTTTTTCGTTCGTTGTTTTGTGTTTCTTAAGATTTAATCTTAACAATATTTTTAATTTGATGTTAATAATTGGATTTTCCTAATTACCTTAATATCTCTTGTTTTAGGTCTGACAATGAAGGCAGGTTTGCTATTTTATGTGTATTGATTAATTCGGTTCTATCATTTCAAGATATTTACCATTGCCATAGACTTTATTTTTATAGAGAATATAAGATCAAAAGAAATTCAATTATGAATACACACACACACAGACAGACACACACACACATACACACACACACACACACACACACACACACACACACACACACACACACACACACACACACACACACACACACACACACACACAGAGGGGCCTCGTAGCCTGGTGGATCAGGGGCCTCGTAGCCTGGTGGATAGCGCGCAGGACTCGTAATTCTGTGGCGCGGGTTCGATTCCCGCACGAGGCAGAAACAAATGGGCAAAGTTTCTTTCACCCTAAGTGCCCCTGTTACCTAGCAGCAAATAGGTACCTGGGAGTTAGTCAGCTGTCACGGGCTGCTTCCTGGGGTGTGTGTGTGTGTGTGTGTGGTGTGGAAAAAAAAATAGTAAACAGTTGATTGACAGTTGAGAGGCGGGCCGAAAGAGCAAAGCTCAACCCCCGTAAAAACACAACTAGTAAACACAACTAGTAAACACACACACACACACACACACACACACACACACACACACACACACACACACACACACACACACACACACATATATATATATATATATATATATATATATATATATATATATATATATATATATATATATATATATATATATATATAGAGAGAGAGAGAGAGAGAGAGAGAGAGAGAGAGAGAGAGAGAGAGAGAGAGAGAGAGAGAGAGAGAGAGAGAGAGAGAGAGAGAGAGAGAGAGAGAGGGGGGGGGGCGGGGAGCTATGAAAAGCAATATATATATATATATATATATATATATATATATATATATATATATATATATATATATATATATATATATATATACACCACTCCCAAGACATCATTACTGGAGACTTCAAATTCTTATTCTGTTCAGCCACGAAGAGCGACTGAGTGACTGACTGACCTTTGTGAGGGTCCGCCAGAGTGAGGTGCAACAAGAGAAGGAACATGAGAGCCGACACGTCCAGATGTGGGATATCCCTCGCCATGGTGGAGGGTGCTCCCTCACGGCTCAGGAGCACCTTCTCCTGCTTCCTCGTCTTCCTTCTCCTCCCTGCCTCCTTCTGCTTCTACTTGTCAAGGTCGTATCATGGGCTCATGTGAGACGGGTGACACTCTACTCGAATGACAAGACACACAAGGTGAGCGACATTCGACGTTTACAGAGTTAGGGATGCCATCTTCAGCTTCTCATGAAGTATATAAGATGTGATGTTGGATTGTAGTGTGTTGGAAGATGTTATGCTGGATGGATGGAGGTCCTCAAGGAGCTATTAGTATTCTATCTAGTAGTAGCAAAGCCCAGGCAAATGGTTCAAACACGCATCGCTATTTCGCAATAATTACTATGCAAATTATTTTCTGATTAATTCTTAAAACTGATGCTGAAAAGCACACTTTCAATTTTTCCCTTTAAACAAAAAATAACGCATGGCTTCACACAAATACATTTACAACAGTTCGATTCTTATATTATAATGACGAGTTCCTGGCGATCAAACAGCGTGAAGAAATTCTTTCCGTTTTACTCGAGGTTGATTTTTATCTCGGCCAACTTTTTCGAGTAATTCCATGTTGCCGTTATGTAAGATTCCGTCGAGGTGGTCATGTGTCATGCCCCCTCCTCCCGAGGACGTGACGAGAGGCTAAATGTACGGTTCCTTAAACATGTCGTGAAGTACCGAGTCTTGAGGCTAACACTAGATACATTGAATTCGTCACATTATTTTCAACTTGAACTGCAGCTATTAATATACGTTTATCTAAGGTACGGTTCGGGTAAAGTATTGTGTCAAGTGCTACCTCTCAGACCTTTTCAAGCTTATTAACATTAATGAAAGCAATTAGCTTCTTTTTATCGGAAGACTCAATTCTTTTTTTTTTTCCTTAAAGCGTTGAATGATTCAACGAAAGCGTTCTTGGTTCACACAATAAAGGTCAGAAGAAATAGATTCCATTATTAATAATATTGTCTTCGATAAACGCTTTTCCTGCACATATAATACCTCGTTCGTTATCTGTCTAGCAGACGGAACCTCTTGTGCACAACTGATCCACAAACACAAACACTAAATCAATCTTATCAACTATTCCGAAGACTTTTAATATTATTACGCCAGATATTATTATAACCAGATTATTATTATACCAGACACTTTCTAATTTCACTTGAAAGTCACCAGCGTTCAGGCTGTAAACGGGGCGTTAGTATCTCTTTAACTGCTAAATTGGTTATAATTGTTTATTGATAACACGCGCATTGCACTGTAATGGGTTTTATACACGCTGGCTTCCATGCTTGGGGTGTTGATTACGTGGGGTCGGCTTGAGGTGGGTCGGTGAAGAAGGGTGGGTTTCAGTTCGGTCGGCGCAGGAGGAATACGCTTGAAGTGGTTCGTTGAACGAAGGGCGAGCTTGAGTTAGATCGGTGCAAGCAGATTTGGGCTTGCAGTGGGCCGGTGTTGGTCTGCCGATAACTGATATATTGGTCTTCCAGTGCGTGAGTGGCTGGTTAAATTCCTGGAAATAAGCATAGCAGAAAATTAGTTCACGAGCAAAAGCAAGGTGTAAGTGATGGGAATAATCTCAACCTCACCTATGTTCTTTCCTGGATTGAGAAGGGGAATGGAAATTTCGTTCAAAATCATGTAACTTACCTCATTGTCCCGGACCTTCTCCCTTCAGCATGAAGGGAGAGGGTGTTATAATTACCGTGTGTGTGTGTGTGTGTGTGTGTGTGTGTGTGTGTGTGTGTGTGTGTGTGTGTGTGTGTGTTGTGTGTGTGTGTGTGTGTGTGTGTGTGTGTGTGTGTGTGTGTGTGTGTGTGTGTGTGTGTGTGTGTGTGTGTGTGTGTGTGTGTGTGTGTGTGTGTGTGTGTGTGTGTGTGTGTACTCGCCTAGTTGTACTCACCTAGTGGTGCTTTCTTGAGCTTCGGCTCAATGCTATGTCTACCAAATCACTGCCTAATGAATTCCATTTGTTAACTACCAACACTGAAAAAGTTCTTTATAATGTCTCTGTGGTGTGTGTATGTACGTGTGTATGAGCTAACGAATCAGTGTTAAATTTTGAGAATATTAATTAGAAACAAAATAATTTAAATTTTGCACAAGAACAATAATTATATACAGAATACAAAAAACATTTATTAAAACGACAAAAAGGATAAGTGAAATAAAATAAAAAGAAGTAAGAAAAAGGACTGAAATGTAGGAGAAATAGAAGCAAGGCTCAGTAAACAGGAGGAAGGTTAATAATGAAAGCAATTTGTAAGAGGGAGAGAGACAAGTAGACAGAGATGGGAAGATAGATATTTTTAAGGAATTGATGAACTACTGAGAGTAGAGGGAAGAGAGAAAGTAATCATCATTATCTGAGGTGCCAATCTCCTTAATTTTACAATTAAAGAGGTATTTTAGTTAAGCAATTAATCACCACATTCATCACCCCATAATCACCATCACTACCATGAATCACCATCACTACCCTCACTACCATCATCACCGTCACTATCATCACCGCCATCATAATCATCACTATCATCAAGTCAAAGATACATTGTATATCACTCCCAATGTAGCATCCGTGTTTTCCTTCTATGGGGGCAGAAAAAACACGCAAACGCGTCAGACATATTTCTTGGCGACAGACGACCCATAACACAGGAAATAACAGCCAGTTGTGGTGCTGCCGGAGCGAGTATATATATAAGGGAAGTGAATACGATCTATCAAGGATAATATGAAACAAAAATCGGTCGACTTGACCCCGAAATCCTCGGCTGGATCTCTCTTCGCGTAAATTTAACTCCCTTATCTTCATCTAAAACTCCCCTTAGGTAGAATCTTTCTTAGAGATTCATCTATAGATGCACCAGCTTTATCAATTAGGATCCCTGTGACGCTGTCAGTCACATATTTCCTTGTCTATGCCGAGATTCTTTAAGCGGTTGGGGGGAAATTTTCTGATTTACGCATGTTGATTTGTTCTTTTTATTTGGCAGCGGGGAAAACGGGGGGACAACTGCATGCGTTAGTGGGCACTGTGCCCAACGTGAAGTTAATTTATTGTGGCACTAGCCTATTATGTAGCGTGTTGGCGTGTTTATGCTCACGATGTATGTGTTGATTGATTCTTTCTCTTCACGGCGGGAGTGGATTGGTTCTTTTCCGCCATGGTGTACGCTGATTGGTTCTTTGGCGTTATGGGATGCGTTGTCTGTTTTTCGGCGTTCTTTTTCATCTTTGTGTGCGTTGATTTGTTCTTTCTCTTCGCGGGGTGCATTGAATGGTTCTATTTCATCATGGTATGCGTTGATTCGTTCTTCAGCATCTTGGCATGCGTTAATTGTTTTTAAATTCTTTTTCATCTTGGAGTTCGTTGGCTGGTTCTTTATCATCATTATGATATACATTGATTGGCTCTTTATCAGGATGATGTTCGTTGATTGCTTCCTTTTCATCAAAGCATGACTCGTCATTACAGTGGTGTACATTCGTCGCTTATACTTTTCAATAGCTTGTGGTGATTCGTCCCTCTGTACCATTCACTGACATTATTACCTACATTTTTTGCAATATAAAGTTAGGTTGTAAGTTGATGAAAGTAAAATTTGATTCGTTCAAAACGAATGAGAAAGTGTTCACCTGTCAATCAGGGTGAGTGTTTGATTGGCAGCAGCCTATCCCTGAGGGGGAGCGGTCATTCTGAATGTCGACGAAAAGTTGAATTGGGCGTCGCAACACTTTGTTGAAAACACTTTAGGGAGGTGAGAGGTTAGGGACAATTTAGGTGCCATGACAGTGTATAATCTCTCTCTCTCTCTCTCTCTCTCTCTCTCTCTCTCTCTCTCTCTCTCTCTCTCTCTCTCTCTCTCTCTCTCTCTCTCTCTCTCTCTCTCTCTCTCTCTCTCTCTCTCTCCCCTCTCTCTCTCCTTCTCTCTTGCTCTCAGCCTTCTTTCCTCCCTCCCTCATCTCTTGAGATACAATTTACTTTATCTTTCAGGAAATTCAGGGAAAACCCAACAAAACATCCTGACCTTTGAAGTTTTGTGCTACTGGAAAACGAGTTCTGGGATTCTGGAAAAAATTACATTAGATCTTACCTGACTAACAACTGATAACTCAATACCTGTGTAGTTCAATGAGAGGCGGCATATAAATATTAAATGTTTATCTGTGCATCTCATCTTCTCACTTGATACTTCGTATTGAATTTTTTTATGCATCGGCCACGATAGGTTAGATGGGTTGCTTGGGGTCGTACATTTGTGATTAGGCGGAACAGTTGTATCGTTAGGTAGTAGGAAATGGAGAGAAAGAGCTGATCTGTGAGACGCTGATCCATTGACTCACTTATCCACTAGTTAATTGATGGATTGGGTAAAGTTGGGTTTCGTTGAATACGTTCAGCAAATGTCAAAGTATTCTTCAGAAATTATTCTTTAATTTAACAACGTTATCGGTACCTAAGTTCAGCACTCCTAGCAAACATATGGAGAACTTTCTGCAGAACAACGCCAGGACCTTCATGTACATAACTGTCTTTTTCTCTCCTCACTACTTTCTTTTCCCAGCTCAATTTTCTTCTCATTCAATCTTCTTTCCAATCACAACTTTTTATCCCCTCATAATTTGCTTTCCCCTACAAAGTTCCTTCCATCACATATACGGACAAATCAGCGACAGTTGCACACGTCTTCTCGAGATTTAGAGTAACTTGAATTCTATGTCGTTCATGCCTTAGATTAGCGGAAAAAAACTAAAGTTGAGCAAGTTAAATCAAGGCACTTTCAAGGCACTATCTTTCAAATCCGGACCGAGAGTGCTTGAGTTAGGGCGGGAATTCAATTTTTTTTCGTCTTTCTGTACTTTTTTCTTACCTGAAATGACACGAGATGCACGAAGCGAGCCGGCCACTCAGACGCTCCTGCTTCGGTGAAAAGGTTGACGGAAGACCGGAATAAACAGGATTGGTTCAGACGGGGAGAGAAGCTTCAAATATGCTCAAGACTTAACAGATGTTTTCCGCCCACTTGTATGGAGAGAGAGAGAGATATCGTGGATAGGAAACCGACATAGTGGAGTGAATTCCTTATGTATTATAAGGGATTTGTGCTTTCTGCGTAAAGTGTTAGTGTGCTAGCAGAGGGCGTGCACCCAGCTGTTTGTTTACACAGGTCTTACACCCAGACCCCATTCTCGTTCTCCCCCCCCCCAACAAAAGCCTGAACGTACAGCTGACCGTGGTCTCTAGTGTGGTGCTTAACTCTACTTGCCTAGTTGAGGGATTTTTTAAGGATAGTTAAGACCTCAAGGTACCTCTGTGTCGCAGACAACACCTGTCACACCAAGTGAGGTTATGCACGACGGCACAAATACAATACTGAATGTAACGTCTTCTCTTCTCAACTCAAAGACACATCCTGCTATATCTACAATTGACATTCAAGAAGTGTCCAATGCACCGATTCAAGGTCCAAATCAAAATTCTCCGAGTTAAATAGACCTTTCAAAAAGACTGGACGCAGGAATGGTCACCCAAACCAGCATTCTGGGCCTTCACACCCTCAGCTGAATAATAACCTTCAGAGCGACATGCTGCATTAATAACATCAACGTCAGCAACATTAAACGGGGCTCAGCTTACGAATCGGCGGCTTAGTACAGGTGGTAATCAACCTGGGCAACATCCCTGTCCGGTAGCAAGGCCCCGACTTAATTGCAATCGTATGGGGCACACCGAATACTGCTGGCGAAATTTAAAGTATAATCAGTACAACGGGATTGGGCATCAGGATTCCTGTCGAACCAAGAACGATTTTGTTACGTTTTGTTAGAAAGAGAACTAATTTCGGACCAGTAAACGAAATACTCAGATTTGGTATACACATTTACGCGTCAGACACCATGCTACCCATACCCTTGATCTGCAGGTAACTTTGTGTCTTTCCCAGCTCAAAAGAGCTACGCACCACTAGTCAGCCAGCTACAAGGGCAGGTGTCATGCACACATGCCTTCTCTAGCAGCTTGTAAACATGAGAAAAGTCATGTTTACAAGTCATTCCAGAGAGAGGTTATCTTGAGATTATCTTGAAATGAATTTGGGGCTTTTTAGGGTCCCCGCGACCCGGTCCTCGACCATGCCTCCACCCCCAGGAAGCAGCCCTTGACAGCTGACTAACTTCCAGGTACCTATTTACTGCTAGGTAACAGGGCCATCAGGGTGAAAGAAACTCTGCTTATTGTTTCTTGCCGGCGCCCGGGATCGAACCCGAAACCACATGATCACGCGCCCAGTGTTCTGTCCGCTCAGCCGCCGGCTGAGAGAGAGATAGACGTAAACAAACTGAGATTCGTAATTGAAAATTTGAGAAATACAAGTTAATTAAGCTTGGTATAATAATAATGTACTACCGTCCATCCTCCATCATTTTACTTTGCGCATTCTCTTCCCCTCCCCCTCCACAAACCTCGTTTGCTTCCTCTAGCACACTGTCTCTCACCACTTCTCCTA